GTGGAGAATTCGGTAATGTACCTTTGATCGGTAGGGCCGGCTGTATTAATTATAACCCAGTCATGGCATTACGTCAGTTGGGTTATGCTATGGAGGGCGAGCCCGGGGCAGAGAAGGTTCAGAGTTTCTTTTTGCTAGCCACATCAGAGGACCCTGCGTTTGTCAGGAAGATTGCCAAGGCTTGGGGTAAGATTCATACAAAGGGGAGGAAGGAGTTAAAAGCGAAGAATTGCGTGGCAAAGGAGCCATACAACCGGTGGTTACTAGCTAGAGTAGCTGAAAGGTCGTTACCATTTCCCTTAGAGCCCTCTATGCAAGAAGCACCTCCTGCTCCCACTCATGTGTCCATAGAAGAATATGAAAAATTGAAGCTAATAGTGGAGAGATTGACTAAGGAGAACCAGGACCTTCAGAATGAAGTCCACCAAGCAAAGGTGGAGAGTGGTCAGTACAAGAGAAAGGTGGAGTTTGAACAGGATCAAGCAGCTGAAAGTAGCAAGAAGCTAAAATTAGAAACGGATCTGAGAGTCAGGTACCAACAGGGTTACGAAGGGGCTGATGCATCATTAACAACTCTCCGACAACGCTTAAAAGACACCAAAGCTTCTTGTGATAGGGCATGGCACTTCTTTGAGATAGCCTCTGCCGAAAAGAAGGAAATACGAGAGAATCTTGAGGCTGATATTGGGGATCTTGAAGAACGACTGAGAAATGCCTTGACCCTAGCGGAAAATGAACGAAGACTCAAAGAGGAGGCATTGAAAGACTCATATGTCACGTCTGACCTGTGGAATAACAAATGTCAAGAATTGGAAACTGCCCAAGAAACAGCCCTTCTATGGAGGAATCGTTTCGAGGCTTTGCAAAGAGATAGTGCGCAGTGGCTCGAGAAGGAGGCTCAGCTCAATGAGTTGTTGGACACCCATGTGGATTCTATTTGTTATTACCAGTCGACTCTAGATATGTGTCGTGCTAGGTACAACAATTTGGTGGAGCATTGCAACCTCATGATCCGTGATATCCCATGGAGGTTGGAAAGCGCCATTCAAGACTTGGAAGGGAATGATATCCCCCCTTCTGTTCACCACTTTATCCATCTCTGCGACCAAATGGTTAGGAGGTTCATGTTTGAGATGAAGAAGCTCGAAGAACGTCTCCAAAAGAGAGAATTTTAGTTATTCAGTTATCTTTTGTAGCACGACTTGTAGTTTCGGCTTATTCAGCTTTTGTCTGTATGAATTTTTTTTCTAAAATTAATGAAAGATTGCTTTTTGGTCCAAATTGTGCACTTCTTTATTATTCAGTCATGATTCTATGATACCAATGATAATCACAAGCCTCGAAAGTCTCTCGAGCATTTTGCATACGTTTGCGCATTTTTTCTTTTTGCATTTCCTACAACCCGATCTTACACACCGCTTACCCCTTTCAGAAAGAGTAAAGCAAGCTGACTTCACGGCATCGGTATAACACAAGGAATAGCCAGAAGAGAATCATGGATCAGATAGAGCAGGACCAGGCTACGATGAGAAGCGAGATGCTAGGCATGAAAACGCAAATGAATCAACTCATGGAGATGATTCAGAATATGGCCAGAAGTCAAGAGGAGATGAGACAAGCAGCGGAGAGGAGCGCTAATCAGACTTTGGCTGGTGCAGTTCCCAATGCAAGTGGTGCAATTCCAATTCCTGTTGATGCCACCCCAACCCCTGTTGGGGCAATTCCTACTTCTGCCGGCGCCGTACCTATCAACACCGTCCCTCCGCCAGTCGGTACGACTCATCCTCATGGTACTACGATCCCAACACAAGTCCAGTACGATGATCATGAAGGTTTCTATGAGAATTCAGGTGAAGCATATGGACCACAGACCGCCGAATTAGAGAAGAAGTTTAATGCTTTACAGGAGATGGTGAAGACATTGCAAGGCCCCGATGTTTTGGGACTGGATGCCGCTGAAATATGTCTTGTACCCGGAGTTAAGATACCTCCAAAGTTTGTAATTCCAACTTTTGAGAAGTACAAGGGTAACAGTTGTCCTAAGACCCACATAAGGTCTTACTGTAGGAAGATGGCCGCCTATTCTGATGACGAGAAGCTACTAATCCATTTCTTTCAAGATAGCTTAACAGAGGCATCCCTAGAATGGTATATGCACCTTGAACGATCCAACGTGAGAAGCTGGAAAGAGTTGGCAGACGCTTTCGTGAAGCATTATCAGTATAATACTGACATGGCTCCGAATCGTATGCAGCTTCAGAATTTGACTCAGAAGCCGAATGAGTGTTTTAAGGACTTCGCGCAGAGATGGAGGGGAGTAGCTGCAAGGGTACAACCTCCACTGATGGAGAAAGAACTGACAGACCTATTCATGGGCACGCTACAAGGACCGATCTTTGAGCGGTTAGCATCCTCAACCTCCACGGTGTTTTCTGAACTTGTTATGGCTGGAGAGAGATTAGAGAGTTTCATGAAGGCGGGAAAAATTCAGAATGCAGGCGGATCTGCAAGCGGGGTCAAGAAGCCTTATCAGGGTTTCGTTAAGAAAAGGGAAGGCGAAGCTAGTGCAGTGCTCACCAATGGAAGGAGAACTCACCAAGGTTATCACCACATTGCTGTCATCGCTCCACAGCAACCACTTTCTATTCCTGCAAATCAGCCTGCGCCTCAGCAAAATCGACAACAACAACCCTATCAACCAAGACAAAATCAGTATCAAGGGAAGAGAAAGCCAGAAAGGAGGCTTGATCCAATTCCGTCCACTTACGCCAAATTGCTTCCGTTCTTGTTGAAAGCAGGTCTCGTTCAACTTAGGGAAATGAAAGATCCTCCGGCTGTTCTCCCCTACGGCTACGATGTAAATGCGAGATGTGAGTTCCACTCTGGCGCCCCAGGCCATAGCATCGAGAATTGTAAAGCTTTAAAATACATTGTGCAAAATCTTATCGACTCCAAAGCGATAAACTTTACCCGAAGTACTCCGAACATCAAATCTAATCCAATGCCACCTCACCACTCAACAAACATGATTGAAGGCTCTAAGGGGA